AGTTGAGGGAGTCACGTAAGGAATTGAAAAATTGCCAGAAAAAGCGTTGTTAGGCCACCACGTGATGGTTACCTTAAGGTTCGCTCCCAACGAATTCAGACTAGGTAGAAGAAGCCAGTCAAAGATTTGTTTGTCTCCTAATTCTCATAGTCTGTAGTGCATTTGACATAAGTCAATTTTTTACAGTCCTGTCATTGAATTCGTAGTTCTAGTGATATTTTTTAGAAGGGCGAGTGTTTGCAGATAATTGTGGTGTCCGACGATTCCATGACGTGGTACATGTAATTTGAAAGGTCAAGCACAAGCCTGATGAAGTTAGATGTTTCCAACTGGAAGAACAATTATTATTATAATGTTGATACAACGCTGTCTCTTTGGTAGAGGTTCGTAGACAACTGAGTCAAACGTATGCACTAGAACTACGCAATTTTGGCGAGAAACAATGCAGCGTAGACATATACCTTTTAATCTATTCAAATTCGTTATTATCTCCCGACTGACTTGTCCATGTCAGAAAAATCAAACTTGTTGGATACCGAGCGTGAGCAGTTGTGGACCTGCATATCTGCCGATGACGTCAGATACTAACTCACGACATCTCGTTTAGACGGAGGCAATGAGACTCATGCAAAGATCACGCTAGAGTGCGACGCTCCGTGTAAACGTAGCATACCGCATGCCAGATGTTTATGGGAATAGACCTTTTATCCATTTATACCAAATCGTTAGATCTCTATAAGCAACAGTAAGCTAATAATAAGCTTATCTCGAATATAGCTAATTAAATTCGATTGTTAATGATGGTTGTAGTGCGTTGCGACGTTATGACGGATGGTCAATTCGGATTCTAATTAGTTAAAGTTACTGGCACATTGTGACTAGAGTGACTCGTATTCGTATTTAAGTTGTCGTTTAAATTGCGTATCTGGTGACTACATCTGCTTGTTTATTGTATGGTAAATATTAAGTGCATGTTATTGCTCATAAAAATCATCATTGCCATAAGTTATGGTGTATCAAGATTGGTAGATATGAATATATATAACTACATCTATAACGCACTAAGTACCTATAGAGAAATAGTGTAGTCAAGTGGATGCATTCGGTATGTTCTTTACAAGCACGGCTTCTTATTGCGGCTGGATCATGAATGACGTATCTAATATTTTAGAAAATTTTATTTATATAGATTTGATTGCAGTTGTTCTTCTGCAGTACATCTTGTACTTTTCAATGACTTTAGCTTCTCATATATCGTCTTGGGATTCTGTGAGAATAATTTAGATTCATGTTAAAAACAAATGCTCGTTCACTCCGATGCCATAGCTTCTGTATCTAGAAGATTACAAAGTCCAAACGCTAACGTGCGACGATAATGCAGTTGTAGAATAATACTAACCAGAGTTGCGAAATTTTATCTGGAAGTATTTGAAGATCTTCTGATGAAATAATGGTTGCTATCACATAGGCTAATTGCTATCGGTTTGTTTCACTTTTTATTTATTTATTTATTTATTTATTTATTTATTTATTTAGATTCAATACACTGCCTGAACGGAACACTCCATTGAACAGGCAGGAAGTACAGCATGCTCAGCCGACAGTTAGAAAATACCTTCGAAGGCTGTCTTTACTGTAGTGAAAGATATCAAGTGCACGTTCACTTTCACAAATGCCACACATAACATAGAGTGGTGAAAACAACAATAAGTTTGTTCTAGGAACAGGTAAATAGAATAAACTGTTGCTACCATGACGAGTACGCAAATTAGGTATGTGTAAATAAATTTTCTCTAAGAGTGAAGGACAATCAATGCTGCCATCGAGCAATTTACACAAAAAGGTAGCAGCGAATAAATGTCTGCGCTTCGTTAAATTTGGCAGATTGAATCTGCTTAATAATATGTCATTACGAAAGCCCCTTTCAGGGTAAACTCTATCTTCTTTATACCACAAATACTTCACGAAACGTCGCTGAACTCTCTCAAGATTATGGGAATGTACATCGTAAGCCGGGTACCAAATAATAGAACAATATTCGAGAATAGATCTAACAAAAGCATAATATAGTAAGATTAAAGTTTTAGGATTATGAAATTGTCTGCTGTTTCTGATAACAAAACCAAGATTTTTGTACGCTTTTGCTACAATAGTATTTATCTGCTCGATAAATGTCATTCTGGGGTCAAACAAAACACCTAAATCTTTGAACGAAAAAATTCTCAGGAGCGAGCTGTTTCCAATCTCAAAGACAGATTCTATCGGTTCCAACTTGCGTGTTAGCGTCATAGTGCAACATTTATCAACATTCAAATGCATATTATTAACTTCACACCACTGATGTACAAGGTTCAGATCTGCTTGCAATGCTAAACTATCATCTAAGGTATTAACACATCTAAAAATCTTGAGGTCGTCAGCATACAGCAAATACTCACACCGCAAGTCACTTACTATGTCGTTAATGAATATAAGAAATAACAAAGGGCCAAGGACTGAACCCTGGGGTACGCCTGACGTAGCCAACACCGGATATGATTTGTAACCACGATAATCTACACGTAAATGTCTGTTATTAATGTATGACTGGAAAAAATCAAGAAATCTAGACGTTAAACCAATTTTTGACAACTTCTGTATCAAAATACCGTGATCTAAACGGTCGAAAGCTTTTGAAAAATCGGTGTAGACTACATCAACCTGCCCTCCTTTGTCCAAAACCTCCGCAGCGTATTGCTTGAAACATGCTAAATTACTACATGTTGATCTACCTTTATAAAAACCATGTTGACCAGTACAGATGGTACGACTTACATGAGAAAACACGACCTCAAAAAGTACAAACTCAAAAACTTTCGCCAAATTGCTGAAGATAACAATCGCTCTATAGTTCTCAATATGTGACCTATCGCCTTTCTTAAAAACTGGAGTAATTTTCGACATTTTCCATTTGTCAGGAAAGGTTGCGGTTTTTAAAGACAAATTAAAAAGGTATGCTAAGGGCTGAGCAAGTACCGAAGCACAATCCTTAAGAAAGAAAGACGGTATGGAATCTGGACCTGTGGAGCATTTAGGTTTCAACTTATTCAGAGCATTTCGTACATGCTTCTCATGAACTGTTATAATAGATAGGCAAGAACTATCGTTCACTGAGGCAGAGTCAGATAAATATTCCGAGGAGGAAATATAAGTAGATTGGAAATATGCTGCAAAGGCGTTCACTATTTGCTCAGGATTTTTCAACTCAGTATTTTCAGAAAACATGTTGCTAGGAATATTGGCGAAATTTTTGCGATGATTTACGAAGGACCAAAAGTTATTAGGGTTGTGAGCCAAAGCGCGCTCGGTTCTTTCAACAAAATTTGAATAAGCCATGTCAATATCGATTTTTATTGTTCTTCGTAAACTGCTAAATAATTCATAATCTGACAAATTACTTGTTCGCTTGTATCGTTTCCAGAGACGATGCTTTTTTCCGATTTTTGAGATAATAGAGCGAGAAAACCATGGAGGATATTTGTTATCTTTCGGCAATGTGTAAGGAACATGTCTATCAAATGCAACATACAATCGTTTATAAAAAAGATCGCAGGCAATATTAATATCCGTAATATGTGACGGGAGAGTTAAATCTAAATTCATGATGCTATTATAAAGAGCCGGGATGTTTGCTTTTTTAAAATTATACTGCGGAATACTGTTTGTATGGAAATTTCTCATGCGACAGGGAAAAGACACACGTACTTCTAGAGGAGGATGATAGGCATCGATAGGCAGTAAAATATCGGATGCAGCACTCACCTGTGCAAAATTATTACAATACACTAAGTCCAGGATGCGATCATATGCATTACGTATATGATTGTATTGAACTAAATTGAAGAAGTGGCTCATATTTTTGACAACCGAAATGTAATTGTTATAGTAAGTACTATCAATGAGGTAATTTATATATGTAGGGATATTGAAATCCCCCAGAAAAAGAATAGTATCATTAAGCTTGAAACAATCTAATGTAAGGATGTCTTCAAAAAAAGTTTCATAAGTCTCCACAGTAAGATTTGGAGGAATATAAACAAGGAGGAGGTAAACTGTACAGCGAATGAGTTCAATTCTAATCCCAACAACATCAATTTCCGAGACTGAACATTGAAAATCAATTGCAACTCCTTTATATTTTTTATGTATCGCTAATAAAACTCCACCTCCCTTAGTCTGGCCAGTTTGTACATATTTCCTATCTGACCTGAAAACACTAAATTCACTACTCATAAACTCGCTATTATGGATGCTATCATCAATCCAAGTCTCAGTCAAAGCAATTAGATCATAAGGACAAGTATAGGACGCATTGAATAAAGTGTGCAATGTGGTTTTTAATCCTCTAACATTCTGATAATAAATACAGAAGTCTGTTCGATCATATTGAGCAATATCTTCATTATGCTCGATTCCAGAATCTAAATTTACACAGGATAGTTGCTATATGTCACCTGTTATAGATTTTTTGTATTCATTTAATTTATTTTTGTATACTGTACATTGATTTGTATCCCAGGCAGCGTGATCTGTTTTTGAATGACGGGCGTTTACACAATTAATACATTTCAGATTGACAGATCGACAATCAGACACTTTATGATCCAAAGAGCATTTTACACAGGTTTGACTACTACTTCTACAATTTTTTGCATAATGATTCAGCCCACAGCATTTGAAGCACAATTTTAAATTGATTGCGTCATAAACCGCACAACTATCATAATTGACAAGGACCTTACCTTGATTGAGAACATTAGCATAAGTAGTACAATCTACATCTAAAATAGCTTGATAAACAGTAGCTGATTTTTTTGTTGGCCAAACTTTTAAAACACTACACTCACTTTCAGCATGAAACGCATTATTTTGAGATTTCAGCATTGTACACAACTCCTCTTTTTCGATACACTGAGACATTCCAACAATTTTTAAGCGCGGGTTGAACTTCCTCACCTCCTTCACCTCATAATCGGCAGTTTATTGGCATCATCCGAACCATCACATTTGATCAGTATTCCACCGTTTTTTATATTTTTCACCTGAGAAAATCTTATATTGTTATCTACAGGGTCAACAGACTGACTAATTCTAAGCCTCGTAGCAGAATGAGACTGATCATTGTTTTTTGGCGTAACAATCACGTTCACAGTCTTTTTCAAGGTATTTGCATATGAGGCACTTGGACCCGGGACCCTTTGTGAGACAGTCTGTTCCAAAGTTTCATCAACCTTATTTATCAGATGACCTTTAGCCTCGGAGAAAATATTATAAACATCAGCAATAAGTGTATCTAACGTACTTTATCATCAATTTTGATAAATACTCGATCAAAATCTTTTTTCTGCTGAGAGCATGTAGGACAGTACCAGAATAAACCAGGTGTTTTTATTACTTTCAATACATCTGATGGAATTCCCACACAAGAAATGTGAAAAGACTGTTCACAAAAACCATCGCACGGTATACCTGGCTTCGAGCGATTTACCAATGAATGGCAACTAGCACAGTTTGTAGCCATGACTGCTTGATTAAGTGCAGCTCACTGCATCAAAGTATAGTTCACAGCAACTGCACATTACGACCACCACACACGTATAAATTGGTGCAGAAACGACCAGTTTGAACCACAGAAAAATACGAAAAAGTCAGAGCGAAAACAAACACGTCTGAATATGGTACTATGTTCAAAACACTTTTTGTAGAGATTGGTCTACAAGTCTTAAGAGAGTACTATCATCCGCGGCAGGATTTATTGTCCCGAATGTGAAGTAGAAATAATTTCAAAGAAAATAATATTCTAGCGAAATTTCAATGTTTCAGATGTTCCTCTCATTTCTTTCATTTGTTCACATCCTTCTTTCCAGCAAAGATGAATTGCTCTATTAGGAAGTTTCATACAGTTAAAGGTACTCCTAGTTTCACTTTCATGTGATGAATATTTCACAGATCTGAAAGAATAGATATATACATTCTTTGTATCTTGGCACAGACTGCTGTGCGATATTATAGATATAGAATAAATAAAATGGACATGATAGAGGTTACTGGTTAAATATACTATGCGAAACATTTATAGTTTGAGACGTATCTCTTAACATTTATAATTAACACTACACGCGATCAACGACAAATCTTACAAAAAAGTCAATTTCTACTTTCTTTCAAGTAGGCGTGAGAGGTAAAACAATATCTTGTTCTTAAGCGTGACAACAACCTGCTAAGGAAATGTCAATCCTCAAACGACTTCCTTCCGTGATTGTTTCTAGGATTTCGCACTCCCAGAATTTTTTGACAGCCGAAAGAGAATTTCCACGATCTCAGTTATATTTAGATATAGCGGCAACACAAGCAGTTCTTTTGTAGAAGCGTTAATGACCGTTATGACCGATATCACCATGCATTATGTTTGATGTTAATACAAAAAAGCTTTCGTACTTTATGAAAAGGTACCAACTACAAGGATTATAAAGAGTCTGAGTCCAAATATAGCGAGTCCTTGTAATTTTAGATAAGCTATAAACAACATAACGCTGACATGTTAAGTTTACAGATTACCTGTAGCACTTTATGACAGTCTCCTGAGCTTCTACGTCTCCCACAATAGTCACAATACGATTCACGTATATCATCACAGCTATTGATTGTGTAGCATTATATTTTTTAACTGAATATCTACGAAAGCATAAGCGATGATAATTTGTATTTTAACCGAAACAAACGCCATATTTGATATTTTTACATTCAGATATTTTAGATAAAGATAGAGAATTCCGACAAGCATCACATAACTCGATGCCTGTAATGCAGTTTCCTTGCTTTGGCCTGGAGAGGATGACCTTGGCGTTGTCAGTTTGCTTATGAGTGTGAAATGCAAAGAGTTACAGTATAATATCATCCTACTGGATATTGTCCAAGCTCCATTGATTCTAACGCGAGCCGCATGTTTCAATGGCCATCTGGCAGCTGATAGCAAAATTCCTCCTCGTAGTCAACCCGCCAGCTTCTGTCCCATTTGTTCCAAGAAGGCATTTCATCTAACCGATTATCTCAACAACATCCTATTGCCGCCGTATCAAAACACGAAGTCTACAATTACATTTTTCACCGAGAAACTCGTTATCTTCGTCCGAGACGTAGCCACCGTGCTCAAGCTCATGCATAGGTAATTTTGAAAAATTCGCGTAACCGCTACCGCAGTTGATTAAATACTCATTTTAGGAATTTCATTAAGTTATTGTGCTCCGTATAATTTTCTTTGAACTTTAACGGTTTTTCATAGCCTCTGCGATGAGCGATATACATACTTTGATTGCTTTGGCGAAAAGGCATGCTTAGTGTATGGGGGTCACTGAGCGATACTGTACTTTGAGAATACACTGTATGATTCATAAGAACAAAAAAATAGATCAAGTGGTTTGCCTCGGCGCCTTCCCAACTTTTTAAGTATAATCATTTTACGTTCTCTGACAATCTGCCGTTACTTTCTTTTGTCAAATGGCAGTAAAGGTAATACAGCATTACATGGATCATCAGACCTGTGATTTGGATAATGGCATATAATTTATCTTTTTAATTTGTTTTTACGCTGTTGTTATTTTTGTACATTATGTTTGTATGATTTAATTTTCTGTAGCTTTGCCATTAGCGTTGACTGAATCTCAAATTTTCAATTATTTTTCATTTTATGTTCTTGACGATCTGCTGATATTTTTCAGGTCAAAGATATTATTACTATTATTATAATGAATATATTATCAAGATTTTCTAGGTATACGTTTGCCTGGGTTTGGACAAAAAACCATCAGCTTTTCCATCATGTAGATAAAGTCATTTTTGTGATATCATCCGTTCTTACAAAAAAGCAAGTAAGCGATAGTTATGTTTTGTAGCTACAATTGGCATTCTACAATATGTTATGTTATGAAGAGCTGCTTTACGAGGTGTGTAAATCAAGTTCCGGGAAAGTAGTCATAACTTGTAAACCGGCAACACTTGTAACGTGCCAAAATAACATAACTTTTTTTTTACTATTTTGATCACTTACCAGTAATTTTAATTTCTCTTTATCAATGAACGCCAATCCCTTTTCAACGATTTTCTGTTGGCAAATTTTATAATTTATTATCTATTTCGCTTTGCCTCACCATTTGATTTTATTTATCGTGTTTTATTAATTTATCAATTATTTACAAAAAAAATGAAGGAGGAGATGCACCATCATTTCCTTGTGTTTTGTACGTATTTCTGGAAAGCATTTTTTTAGTGGGCACGTGAGTATGGGTGACCAACATTTCACATTACAAGCGACGTGTTGTGAATCAATTTTTTGTGAAATTTGGCACAAAATTCTAGGAAATTGAAGATGGTGTTTGAAGACAAGTGTATGTCGAAATCATGCTTATTTAAATGGGCGAAGCAGTTCAGAGAAGTACCTGAATCAGTAGAAGACGATCCAGCGAAGGAGCTCCCGTAACCTCTCTTAGGAAGAATTTCACCAAAATTAATATTTAACGGTCCCTTGGACGAATAGGAAAAGACCGTATCGAAATGCAATTTGTCAGAATCTGTCAAAACGCTCTGAATATCAGTGATTTCTATTGAAATGTTGAATAAAGTCGTGAAAAAATGGTTGCCTTATAAATGAGGGTACATTATAGATGTAATATTATATCTGTGCTTTAGAATTAGGATAACTTTATAGAATTTCAAATTTTTATCATTTCAGAAAAAACGGTCAGTTATTTAAGTGGGACCAATGGGAATGCGGCAAATAATAGGTCGATTTTCCAGCTATTATATTTGGTAGGATGTTTTCACTGTTTTTGACGACTGTTCATGCATGACAATCTAGTTTTATATACACATCACGTTCAGGGTGTTGTATATAATACGTACTTGTAGAAATGTACCGACTTTTGTTATTTTGCAAAAAAAAGGATATAAAACCTATTCCAACTGGTTCATCATATTTTGTTGCTTCAAAAACAATTGTTGCTAATTTATGCTCTAGAAATCCATACCAAATGTAAACAAACAGCACATTCTGCATTTCTGGGTCCTAAAACATCGATATTTGTAAAAGTATCCGCATCCACCTATTATTCATCGTCTAGATATTATGTCAGAATCAAAAATACCTATTTATGAAAATATATCTCAAAACATTGTTATATTTTCTTATTATTTCTATTATTATAAAACGTCTGGGATATCAATTGCTTTTAAAGTAATCTGCAGTGTTGCCAAACCGGAAAAAATCGGAATCGGTAAATAGTGTCGTTGAGTTCGGTATAAGGTAAATGCCGTCCCAAGATCAGTGGTAGATCAAGGACCTTTGAGTCATGAACAACGTGTCTGTTATTGTATTGGACGCGCACACAACATGTTTTTTAAGGGCATAGTTCTATATTACAACTTCTACAATGTGCATACTGGTCGCTCTTTCAAAGAACTTTGCAAATCATTCTGGAAACTCCTTTTTCGATTTTTGCTTAGATTGTGAATTTTTTTTCTGTTTTACCCCTGAACTCACCTCTCATTTTAATTAAATACTTATTTTGAAAACAGACAGGTTTCGGTTTCTTTATTGCTTGTCCGGTGATGAGGTAATGACGGTAATCTACCAGTCTGTACCTTTTGTATGCACAAAAATCAATTCAGGGCAAGCGGAGTAAGGGATGAGGATGTGCGTTCGTATCATAGGCAACCCAAATCTACGCCTCTCATGTGCCCGATTGCCTGAGTGTGTATGCATATGAATGATTGATACGGGGCATAAAGCTATGATTACTCCACAAAATTAACTTTTAGCTTTATTTTTGGTTTCCAGCAAGTATAGAAATATTTAAATTATTTTGAAAAGTCGTGGAGAATGTTATCGGTAAATATTCTCTTTTCGGTAAAAATACCGATAAATCCGGTTCAAGTCCATGCATAGACAATCTGAAATTTGCAATATGAATTTATATTCTTAATTCTATGCATATCCGTTCATATTCGTCAATATTTCATTTGAAGCTTTTATTTGTCATAAGATTTTAGCAAAATGTAAGATAGTAAAGGCAACACCTCCCCCTGCAGCCCAGTTGACAAGAACGACAAGCTGTCAAGATTAGGGATGTTTAGATCCACTAAAAGTATCGTTATGTATCGATTCTTATCGTATTAGGAAGAATCGATGCTCTAAAATTATCGATATCCAGCGGAAGGAAACAAAGAAGAAAAGTAATCTGAAGTTAGTCACTCTTTCTGACACAGTCCGGATCGAAAAATGACGATACTCGTGAAATGTATCGATACACCCAAGTGTCGTATATAAAAATATCGATCCAAAATATCGGGTCTGGGAAGCAAAAGTATCGATACTTCTAAATATAGCATCGTATCGAACATCCATACTGTCCAGATGTATCACCCGAGGTACCGATTTTTTCAAGTGTTGTGCAACGATTTTGGGAAACATTTCACGAATAGTCTTATAAAGCATAGTAGAGTATATTTCAACAGTTGGCGGAGCGTACTCCACTGGGACCAGGGGGGTGAAACGCGATATTAATGCAAAATCTGGCAACCATGACGCACTGTCAAAAAATGGCCACTGACAACCACACAAGTCACTGTGTTGTCATTGAATAGCATGGAATTAAACCTTCTTCAGTGTATATGTAGGTGTTTGATGGCTATCTGCAAGAGGTTTATAGGAAAAGATGTTGAATCAGTAAAATCGCATATCAATTGAAGAAAATAGTATAAATATGAATAAACAATCGACATAATTAATTAAAAACATGGATTTTATTCAAAAATCGAATACTTTTTCAAATTTTGACTAAAGTATATGTAATTTCGAAATTTTCAATAAGCTGGTGATGTTTGAATGACAAGCGTCATCTCATACTTTGACAGTATTTTGTCCTCAACATTTCATAGCTATTGGTTGCTAAAATTTGTTGATAGGAACTTGAAGCTCATTCGCTGTTACCCTATAGGTGGAGAATAACGGACTGTTAGTTTGACAACCTTGGTGAAATCCTCCCTTACCGATGCAAATGTCGACCGTTTATGCGTTCTGAGCTGCTTTCCAGCCGGCCTTTTCGTGTACGCAGCCTAGCACTTGCGCGCCTATATGCAATAAACTCTTTTACCAGGTTGATTGTTTTCCCGTTTAAACTGTGCCGGTATGGTAGATAATGAGACATCAGAGTGTGGTTCTTTGTACATACTTTGCTCTTTGATACAAATGGTTGACGTTTGGGCGCCACCTAGTTCCAAGAACTAGGAAAAAGAAATAACAAGTACTGCCTTTCGGCCTATCAAAACTTGAACTGTCTGCTAAATGTTGGCACCCTGGAGCTAAAGGATACACTAATTCACAAGGTACACAAAAATTATTGAAGAAAAAAAGTAATTTGAAAGAAGTCCAAAAGAAAATTAGTTGGTACTATCCCCCAGCTAAATTGTTTCCAGCAAAAACTAAAATTAAAAAAAATCACCTTGGTAGGTGCTTGGCTATTACAGAATAGTGGGAATGCTTCCCACACAAGAGAAGGGAGAGCTGCTAAGGCTACCCAAATGGATGCTTCGGATCAAAGGCAACCGAGGGTAGAAAGTCCCGAATGTAACTCAGTACCCGAACAATCAGGGCTTACAGAAATGAGGGACTACTCCTCACCGACGTGAGTACTGCTTAAAGATCGCCTCGCAGTATCAATGCAGACAGTCTCCGTCAGCTCGATGGTTTAGTGTAGCTGTGACAACGGCTAAATCCTCACGAGAGTGAGAAAAGTCCCGACAACAAAATTCTTCAAAGGAGGTTGATTTTAATCAAAGTCTCTACAACCCGGAAAATACCCAGCACTGGATGTGAAATGATATCACTAAGTCGGATTCTCGTATTTATGTCGACGGAAATCATAAAACTGACCTTTAATTGGATGGAGAGTAGAGTACGATTTTCTACCATATAATTATTGGACCAAGAGAAGTGTTTTGTTATAAAAATAAAATTCGATATTTTTAAGAACTGTTATAAAATTACTATTCTAAATAAGAAAAACGTTGTAATAATTTACTCTATCAAGATATAGGTAATTTTTAATAGACCATAAAAAGAGAATTCAACATGATGTTTGGATTTGATGCACAAATTTGCTTCACCCTTGCCCTTCGAGTACTAGCCGTTTGGTTGGAGCTCCAAACCCATGAAAAGTCAGAGCTGTCAATTTGCTTTAAATACGTATATACCTGTTTTTGCATCTATTTTGTAATTTAGGTAATACCGATTATTGAAAGGCACTAATAAATACAAAAATACTTATGCTTAAAAAAATCTAATAAGTACAAAATAATTTTTTTTAGAACCCATCAAATCAATATTCAAATCCTCAAATAAAAAAATTAAATGAAAATCAAGGAAAATAGATGGAAAGATGAAAAAATATTTCATCAAAGGAAATAGCTCTCAGCTGCGACATTGACTGTAATGACAAATACGGAACAACATTTTGTTACGTTCATCATCTCGGATGTGAAGCCTCCATATTTAATTAAAGCCCTTGCGCTTCAAACCCAATAGCGTTGTTGGATGGGAAGCAGCTCTGGTCACATCTGACCGGTGCCTGAGCACTTGTGCGTTGTCTGATATCAACAAAGAAGCCGTCGGAAAATTTTACACTAGGATTTGAACATGCGAAAGATTTGTGCAAAGATGGTGCCAACAGTTCTCACCCGTGGACAAAACAAATGCGAAAATTGATCTGCGGGGATATGTTGTCCGCATTCAGAGCCACGGCAGACACTCGATGAGTCGGGTAATCGCTGGAGGTAAGCCTGGATATCTGAGTATGGCTCCGAGAGTCGTAAACAAAGTCAACGATGGGTAGAAATGGCGAAGGAGTGTTCAACCAAAGCGAGGACGTCCCAAGTTGCGTCTGATGGCATTGCTGATCGTTTTTCCGATATTCGCGATATCTTCATCGTAAATGTGTTCATGTCAGCCAACAGTGACTGGACATTTCTATGTTAGCGTCCTGATGCAGCTGCGTGCATGTATTTTCCGCGTGCTACCCGAACTCGCCGAGTAAGGCTGGATCTTGCACCACGACAACGCACCGGCCCATTCCTTGTTCATTGTACAACAGTTCTTGGCGAAAAAAGGCATCCTAATGATGCCGCACCCATCCTGCAACCCCTACGACCTTTCCTTATTTCTGAGGATGCGGTCACTCGTTAAAGGAACTCATCATGGTGGCGTAGAGGAGCTCAAAGAAGCTGTATCCGTGGGCGTGGTGCTGAACAGGCTAACTTCAGAGGAATCATGGGAGCCACGTTGGAATAGTTATACAGAGTAAGACAACATTTTTATTTACATGTTTTTTATTGACAAATTCCCAGATCTTAATTGACACGCCTTTATATTGATGTATGTCAATATTAGTAAGACCGGGGAAAGCGGTGAGATTGTGCATGCTTAGAATCCCGTCGGGGGCCACTGACTGACAGGCCAGCAGCTTGGATGTGGGATGTTTTTGAATTAGATTAGAACTACGAGGGCACCGCGGGTGCTCTGAAGAGTTTGAAGAAACATTGTGGATTATTCACACAGCAGATGAGGTCATTGATATGTAAGAGGAACAATGTCGGAGCCAAGACCGATGCCTGGGGAACACCAGCAACGACTTTGTGGATGAAGAGGAGAACCTGTCAATGACAACGGATATCTTGCAGACAGATAGGATGGGAGTTGGCATAAGAGGGTAGCATGCCACAGCTTTAATGATAACAAGGGCAACAGCGTCCATGGCGGAGTTGGCAGTAAAGACCTGTCGGGGACAGCCAAAAAACAAGACGGTCCCGCTTAAAGCGGGACGTTTGGTTTCATCAGTTATGTATTGAGATTTTAAAAAAATGCAAGGTAAAAGATTTACTGTAATGTTCAGTTATTCCTGGTTGAGAAGTGATGGTCAATTTTCGAAAACAGCAATCGCTTGATCGTTCGTCTACTCTCCGTGTCACTAATTAACAGAAAGCCGCCTGAAAGGAGTCTCTGCCGCCTCCACTTTATACAAATCAACGAACGTTCCATAAATTCAGCGAGTCGCGCCTTTCTAAAGGACGTTTGAATGGGCTGCTTCCAATAAAATATCAATAACTCGGATTGCCGGCATAGGATCCGCACGTAATGACTATCGTTAGCAGAGCCGTTGAGGCTGGAGCACCGGCTACTTCTTGTGAATTTGCAGATAGCAGATAAGGAGCACATCGCGCAAAAATACAGATACGGATCTTATCCATGGATCTAGCCGGCTTTGGCGCGAACGGCAGCCGCCGTTGTCACTGTGGGTGGTACCTGACTTTACCACTTGCATTGCTCTTTTGCAGCAAATAAAACTACCATCTGTTATCAGAATCGACCACTGCGAACGTGAAAACAGCAAGCTGTCAGTTGAAGCTGTATGCCAGCCGGCAGGGATGTTATGTAAATAGCTTAAAAAGAGTAAAAAAACGACAAAATGTCATTTTGAAGACTATAGTGTATTTACATCAAGATATAATGGATGCGTGATTGCCAAAAGCAAGGACGGCGTACAGGGCCGCATTCAGGGCTACCTCCGAATGATGGACTACCACCAACGTGTTGTAAAACAAAGATGACAGCATTTAACGAAATTATCTAATATAGTGAAGTAGCTATAGTTAAGGGTGTCGCAAAATCAAATTTTTATTCTTGAGGGGGTGCTAAGTTTTTCTACAGATTTTTCAAACTAGACAACATGGAGAAATACATACCAGAGGTAACCAGCTGCTCACTATGCACAATGAATCCGTAGTCAACGAGGGGTAGAGATGACACTTTTCTACATGGAACAAATATAAGGTTGTTCAATCAATTGAAAATAGATTTTGAAGGTGCACTTCGGACTTGCATTGTCTGTAGTTTATCTGTAAGTTAATATTTCACTATAACTAGGATTCCCATAATATGTATTCTGTGACAAAACAAAAACGCGAAACTTACTCAGACTCACTTGAAGAGCTATCGTCGTTAACGTTTATGATGATGGATTCAAAATCTCTCTCAATTATGTTGTCCAGCTCCCACATTGCTACCTCCACTTTCTCCTGAATATGCTGCACACATTTTTGCCATCTTTCTTGTGTGACCCTCTGTATAGCAATTCTGAACAGCTCTTGCATGTCAGAAAATTTAAATGTTGTATTGTGTGCAGCAACAAAATTCTTAACGTCTGCCCATATGAGCTCAATGGGGTTGAGCTCACAGCGGTAAGGCGGCAAACGGAGTACTGTTTCGTGGTGTGCTTTGGCCATTTCATCAATGACATATTTATCATGTCTTGGTCTGTGTTGTTTCACAATATCTAATAGTTGTAATTTCAGTAAGGAAGGGTCGAAAGTTATATTTTTGGAACGGAGCCAGCTCTGAATGTCTGTTTTCCTAGAAGCTGAAGTTGGGATTTTTTCTATTTTGCGAGAATGATAGGGAGCATTATCCAAAACAACCACAGAATTGTCTTCGAGACGTGGTAAAATGCCTGAAAACCACTTCTCGAATGCTTCCCCATTCATCTCTTCATGGTAGTCAGTGGTTTTTTTTACTCAAAAGATCATAAGCCGTCATCCTCGAAGCCATCGACACCCCCAATGTGGCAAATAATGAGCCTTTTTCCTTTGCCTAGAAAGATAAAATCCGCTAAGTACACATGCACGTCTTGTAGGTACGAAGATAGAGAGATACTGTGCGCAAAAATTGATACCGTGAACTACTTCGATCTATTTACCTGCTGGATTTTTCAATCCGGTCGACAGTCCTTCTAGAAATGCCCTTCTGGATGAAGTCACAGTTTTGTTAACCAATACCTTCGGAGTAGTGTGCCCAGCGTTAATTCAGGTTTCGTCCAGGCAATAGATCTTCCTGTGCTGATCCCTGACTGATTTAATTTTGGTCAGGTACTCTCTCCTCCACAGAACAATTTATTCTCTATCCATAAGTAAGCTGTTACGACCTCGTTTCTTCCATTCGAAATTAAGATGCTTCAAAAGTTTATGAATAGTCGAACGTTTGAAATTTGGTAACATAGCATCCTCGTTAACCTCCCGTAGTACTTTATCAACTGTCGATATTTCGTTTCTGAAGAAGAACTCCTGCACTTTCCTCCGAATCGCATGCTTGTCAGCGTCATCCAACGACCTTATGATACTTTTGCGATTTTTACCCGTCATTGGCTTCTAAAAGGCATGCTTTTTCTTAAGTTCGT